TGCAAAGGTCATATCATACTCATTGTGCGTCATGAGAACTTTCAAATTACTTGTATGTTTTTAGGTGAAATAGGTCTAGGGAGACTACAGCAGATAAAAAAAGTTTAGGCAACTAGCTAGAGACAGTTACGCAATAGCCCATGGCTTCAAACAGATTTTTACATATGCCCTTGCGGCACCTCATTTGTAGCACTTTTTCCTTTACAATGATTACTATTTTTTTAACTATTGATCCCAGATCTAGCTCAAATCTGAGCTAAGCAGATAGAAGTGAATGGAACACTATGTTGCTTAACTTTGTTTTTCTGTTATCCCGTCAGGTGTAAGTGACTGATTGGCTTCAGAACTGTAAACGCGTAGAGAAAGGAATGATGATGCATTTAGTGCTTGCAGGAAAGCAGCCTTGGGGGCTTCTCAGCCCAGGGTTCTCAGAACAAGCAGCCATCAAACCACATAGCACTGTACATTTAGTTCCCTCCCCTCCTTCCCAGCCCTCCACCCTTCATAAAAATCCATCAGAATTTTTACTCCAAATTGCCCAGAGATGTGCACTAGTACCAGACATAGACAGACAAGACGGATAGTCATCATTTGGCCAGGTACAGCTCATGAGTAGCTCACTAAAAAGCCTGCTGCGATAAGGGAGGGAACTACTGTGGCTGTATTGTTCCAGTCCCATTTCCCAAAACACTGAAAGAAATAGTAACTTGTTTATAATGATGCATGACATCAAGGCAGTACAACACAGCAGTACTTGAGAAGCAGCTGTGAACTCCATGACCTCCTTCCAAGTAGAAAGTCTTCAGGGATGTAGAAGGCTAAAGCCTTTATTCCTTCTCTAGTTCTCTAGAAGAAAATATTTCTATTTCTGATATTAAAAAAAAAATGGGCAGAACCACAACCACTTGCCACACTCGAATCCGTTTATTTTCTTCTCCCTTGGAGATGGTCCCTCTGGCTTAGGAATGAAGATACCTCACTTACCCGGAAGCGATGGAAGTGATATGTCATTTCATTCTGCAAGAGGTTTTTCGCACAAAATGGTCCACGTCCAGGTACTGGAGCCATTTTCCTTCAGTAAGCTACAGGAACAAAAATTTCCATTCCTTACCTGTGTCATACCATTTTCATATTACATACTGATCTCTCCCTTCGCCTTTACATATCCTGTTTGAGTGTAATTGTAAACCGTCTGGCCTTGTGGGTTCACAGCTTTGTTTTTGATGCACTCTTTGTTTGCCATAATGTCACAGATGCTCTTCTAAATCCCTTTGTGCTACATTGCAATCAATCCCATCTTCGTTTGATGGTGCACCACGTAAACTTTGCTGCCTATTTGAATGCCAGATATATTTCTAAGCAATAGAAAAGGTTTGCTGATCAGTTAACCACTTGTACTTGCCCATTTTACAGTGCAGGAAAAACAAGAGCAATCCAAACTTTAGCAGAAAAAAAGCCAAAACAAATGACAACCAATCCTGTTATCCTGATAGATCTGCTTTAGAGATGTAATCTAATGTACTTTCCACCCTTTCTTCCCTATTGGCAGCCTCTTCTTCCAAAGAAAGAAATAGAAGTCTTTAGCATCGGGGTGGGTGGCTTATGTCTGGGACGCTAAAAAGTCTGAGGACTGAGCTCTGCTGACGACTAGGCTGCTCTGTGTACAGTACACCATGCACAGAAGGCAACAGCCTTGCGTTCTGTTGGCCCGAAGAGGGAAGAAGGCTTAGAGACTTGCTGAAAACAGCCTTCGATCAGCTGTACACATCTAGACAATGTTGTCTTTAGTGTCCCAGATGGTCCCAGCTGTTGGCATAAGCAATGACAATGACAGTCACTTCTTTGCGTGAGACTCACCGCATATGCCTCATGTGAGTCCAATTTTTCAGCTGCCTGCTGATGAGAAGTGAAATTCACCCAGAGAAAAGCTGTCCTTGAGGCCCACAGGATCTCAAATCCTGTGGAAAAAGTCTTAGTGGGGAGGATTAGTCGTATGATCACTTCCGGCTACTATCTAATTTTATCTGTGTATTACTGATACCGCACGTCATTCTTTTTATCATGAAAACCCCTCGACAAACAGGACTAAAAATAAAAAGCAAGAGCTCAGAGTTGGCACGAACCCTGCTACGCGGACTCCAATTTGTATAGCAGGAACTATAATCACTCTGAGACGTGCCCAAGCCCTCGGGCATCCCACGGGATTTCAGTCACTTGTTTACAAGGTGTTTTGATTTGCAGCTGTTTGACTACTGTGGCATTTCAAGAGGGGGCGGTTTGAAAGGATGTTGTTACTTTGAACGTCGGGATTGGGAAACGGGTATAGAAAAATCACACAAGAAAACGGGCGCGTGCTGTCTTTGTTCTTCCCCCCTTGTATCTGAATGATGTCAATACTGGGGAAAAGAGCTCCAGGAGGAGATTCAGAGACCAGTGCTCTGGAGGGAATAAGCAGGAGACAGGTAAAGCCCTGAAGAGGGAACCGTGCCCTGACCTGCCATACCAGAGTGCTCCACATCTGATTTGGGGGGGGGGGGCTTTTCCTCCAGAGGGAGGAAGGGAACCATCCAAGCCCACAGATCTTCTGGCTTTTCTATCAAGGTTGCCAGCAAATAAATCTGTGACACAGACACCTTTAGAAACTGGGCTAAAAGCCATCACCTGCTCACTTCAAACAGGCCAGCAAATAGCCAGCAGCTGAAATGGATTTGGTCACTGGCTCAAAGTAATTTAGCAACTTAGAAGGCTCTTTCTGTCATTCCTAATCTCCTGACCTGGACAGTTCCTCTTTCAGAGTTGTACTTTCAGAGTTGTATTGAGTTAATGCCCACCTTCTTCTGGGCCCTCTTTGGATAATGGATTCAGATATGCAGAAAGAATGTAAAAATCCAGTTGTTATTTGGGATCAGTGACTTGCACAATAGTGCCCATGAGTATTTGTTTAGCACTGTTGAGAGCAAGAACCCTGCTAAGTTGTAACAAGCTGAGAGATGGAAAGCAAGAAGATAAAATAGCCTGCCTGTTGTAAAACTATGTCCACTGAACTGAGTGCATTTTTTGGCTTAGGTAGCTGTTTGCCTGTTTTTTGTGGGAAACCAGGAAGGGGACTGGTAGAGCTTTTCCCAGGGTTTAGAGTGTTATTTTCTTGTTTCCACTATTGGTTTTGTGTGCTTTAATTGACAGTCAGTCATGTACAAAATACAGTGCCAAGCTGAGATTTAGCTTGCAATCACTTAAGTCTGCTGCCCCTCTCTCCTTTCCTATGACTTTTTCAAGTGATGATTTACTTGAACTGTCATGTGCACATGAAGAAGCATAATTCCTGCCACTCTTGGATACAAGTCCCTTGGCTGCCTAGCGTGTGCCAGCAACCTGACCACACTTTTTTGGCTAAATAGCAATCTTCTCACTTCCTGAAGGTAAAAGAGGCTTCAGCACAGACTGTAAAGCAGCGTAAAAACGGGAAGAATCAGTCAGATTATAACATGACAATTTGTTGCTTTTCTAGCTGGAAAAAAAAAAAGCCATGTTTGATTCTGAGTGACACTGATCGTTTTGGCACCAGCAGCTTCTCCGCTGGAGACGTGAGTGACTTCTCTTTTTAGCAAGCATCAGAATTATCTAGGCTGGCACTACAGTTCATCACACTTCTTGCTTTCTCTAGGCAAAGTTGAAGGAAAAATTTGCATTTGCTTGCACCTGCCATCAAGGATCTCAAAGTACATGACTTATCCTAGCCCATACAATAAATCTCTATCAGAGGTCAGGTCAGAAACCCTGACTCCCTCTCCTTTCCTCTAACCAGCACTCTTATCCCCAGGGCTGGCTATGACTACTACCATTAGCATGTGTTATACTGTCACCATCCTGCCATATATACACCAGTTTTAAACTCCCTGTTTTTCACCCATAGCTATGGAAATCTGTCTACAGAAAAGGCTGTAAGAAAGGAAGACTGGTGAAGTCTATTCTAATCCATGGTGTCTATATTTATGCGGCCCTTGTCACAGCAGAGCAGAAAATGTCACTGGAAAAGTTTTATTTTTGCCAGCAGGCAAGAGGTTTAAAAAGAGGCAGTATAACCTCTATTCGATGATGTTTGTACAAATTTTTAACTGCTATTTAATTTAAAAATCATCTTTAATGTTGATTTATATTCCTGACAGTAAAGTCAGGAGGTTGGCAATTCCATTCCATTTCAATCCGTGCCCTGACTGAGGCAATAGTATAGATCAAAGAAAAGAAGTCTTGCAGCACTAACACTTTATCATCCTGAATGTTTTCAAGTTCTCACTCTGATATTCACGGGCAGATTATGTAACTACTAGATTTATATTTTTCAAGGCCGAATAGTAGAAGATTGAAAGGTTTGTATCATTAAGAGGAAGTATTTGGAAATAATTGAGTTGAAACAAAGAACAACATATCAAGCGAACACTTGACATGAACAAGACTGCTTTCCTTGAGATGTCGTGTTGCTCCCATCTTTTATAGGGTCAACCATTTGTTTTCATGCTGTACGATATCAAATTAACTGCATGTTGTGATATATTCCCAGTCTTGCTTTCCATCTAAATATGTCAAGTTGACATTTTTATTGTCATACTAATTGTTAAATATTCAAGGACTTGAATTCCTTCATTAGCAGTTTATCTAATTGGAAGGAGAGAGAGAAGTAAGCCATGGATCTATTGCGTATTCTTTAAAGGATAATAAATTCTTGATTTACAGTTCACTATCTGACTGGTCAGAGGAACATCAAAACTTGTTTTAGTGTCTCCCGCCACCCCCACCCCCCATTGCTTTTGCATAGGATCTCATACATACTAATAGGTTGAATTGCCTAATACCTCAGAGACGTCAAGGACATAGCATTATCCCTGCTTTACAGGAAAGGAAACAAAGACAAATGAAGGTTAACAGGTATGCCTAAGGACACACGAGCCGCGGAGCAGAATGCAGCGCTCCGGCCACACGCGGTGCGCAGGACCGTCCTCACTCAGGCAGCAGCTGTTAGGCTGTTGCATCCAGACACAGTCCCCCCGCACAGGGCTGGTCCTCGCGAGCGACTCCGGGGCTGCGGGACCCACGCCCCACACGCTTCTGAACCAACCCCAACATGGAAGGATCCTGAAATTAGGCCGATGATTTCATACCACGAGCTTCATGACAGTTAAATAAATAAGCCCTGGATTCTTTCCTTTAGCCCGTTAGAGGATACCAGACTCATATCCTAAACATTTCTACCACAAACTGCGACAGCCCGAGTTTCTCTTTGTTGACTTTTTTAGTGAAGGCTGAGCTCACATAAGCACTGCAGAACTGCGGGCTAGATCAAGCTGTTCCCTTGCAGGCCTACAGACTCTGTGAACTCGTCAGAAATCTCTATTTCCCTATTTCGTTTCTTCGCAGCTGAAATGCCTTTGACAGAAGTGTGTGTGTCGGGGGGGG